GTACCTGCTTTCTTGGTGTTTGGAAACTGAAGAATACGAAGCATAGGTGTGTCCTAGAAAGGGATGAGAAAAAGCAGTGTCTTCATCCTTAGCAAATGTTCTCCCCGGTTATAGTCACTTTGCATACAAATAAACAAAAAAGTAATATTTTATTAGGAATCCAGTGGATAGAATAATGGACTGTAACTCAGCAGAGCTCAGTTCACAGCTCTGCCGTTGGCTTATTGGGCAAAGTCATTTGTAACATCACCATACAGCCTGGGATAAAGACTGTCTCTTTGTAATGCAATATGAGATCTATAAAGGAAAAATATTATGCAGAAGGAATAATAATAAAATCCTTCTAATGATGATAAAATTATATGTTTTAAATATATGTTTATGTTGTGCACAGTGGAATGAACCGGATTCCATTCTGCCTCATGCTTCATCAGTGGTGCTGTTAACTGGTTTCCATTTTAAGGGCTACATGTATTAGTGTAATATTTTTAGCTGTACCTTCAGATACAGGTGTGCTTTTCCACTGAAAGTGACAGCATTTCATTGTAGTAACACTGGGCAGCATTTCCTGCATCTTCGTTACTGTTGATAAGCCATAAAGGATTTTAGGGCTAAGTTTTAAATACCTACCATTGATGGTGATGATGGGGAGGGGTCTTTTTTATTTGTGAACTGAGTAAATCCATTACACAGATTCTTGGGCTGTGAGGACTGTGGTTCCCTGAAAGTAATTTGCATAAAGTCATTCATGTCTGCATTTGTTCTTTAAACCTTCTCTGGCTGTATGGGTAACATAAAACATTTATTTTGCCTTATTTTATACAATGTAAATAATAGATACATTCAGGACTAGATCCTAAATACCTCAGCTGGTATCCACCAATGTAGCTCTGGAACAAGCAGGGTTGCATCGGCTGAGAATCTACCCCCACCGTCAGCTGTAAGTGCCAGTCTTGGAGTGCATTATACAAATGTTCGCTGTAGTTTATCAGCAGCAAAGCTGTCACCCAACAGTACACACTGCCTTCTATCAGCCATTACTTTTCTGTCATCATCATCAAGTGTAGCTTAAGAGAATCTGTGTATCGTTTCTTTCCTTCTGAACAATTTCCATTGAAATAATTGACCTGCTTTTATGGTAATTCGGTCTCTGCTATTTGTTACTGCAGCATTTTGCAAAGAAAAATGCAAAACTAATGCCCTAGAACAGAAACATTCAGCCAAATTACTTACCAGTAATCCAAGGAATCATGGATAAATCCATTGCTCAAGTGGCTTCTCATTTGGAGCTTTATATAGTTTTCACCCAAGGGTTGAAATTTGGGGTTTTTGTGGGTGGAGGGGTTGATTTGTTTTTGAAAGGTAATACTCATGCTCTCTGCCCTAGAGCAACTTTATATAAATCTCTTCTGAAAACTGTATCTGCCAGCACTGTCACTCCACCCACAAGCTTTCACTAGTAACACCAGCTAAAAATATTTAAAGGGGCTGTTTCCACTTGTTTGGTGCATTTCATTTCGTGTTTCTGCCTCCTCCTTTCTTCATTCTTCAAAAAAGTCAATAAGAGATATCATTTAAGCCCAGCGTTTTGAAGCGACAACCAGTAAACAGCCTTGTACCATGATTAATGAGTACTCGGGAATAGTTTGCTGTAACTTACAAGTAGTAAGTTGGGGCCCACTGAATTTGTTTTAAAGGAAATGAAGAGATTCCAGTTGTGGGTTGGGACCCTCACTGAGTCACTGGATATGCTATATTTTCCACCAATTTCTATCACTGGCTGATGATGTTCATGTCAAGGTGTTACACAGTCACAGGGAAGTACAAGCTAGTACAGAAGTGACACTCAGAATCTGGACTGTCTGATAAGTTAAGCAGTAAGGAGGACTTTAATTTCCATTTAAAAGCTGGAAACAATGGTCAAGGTGTGTGATGAAAATCACGAAGTCTTTTAAAGAAAAAATGGTCTTCAAAAACCAAAATGAATCTTGTTTGGTTTTACCTAGTGGACATATTTTTCTTGATTTCTTGGACTTCCAGCAAGCTTGGCTTTCTGTGGAGTTTCTGGGCTGCTATTGCTTTTTTCAGGGGAAAGATGCACCAAAGTAAAGAGATCACAGATGTTGCCCTGCTGGTTTAAGCGGGGTCATTTGCCAGTGGAAGGTGTCTAGGGTTTGATAACAGTGAACGTGCTCTGAATTTTTCTACTTTACTTTGGAAGTTTGTTGAGTAGGTGGATTCCCATGGCTGAGCCAGCGTCTCAGCAGGGGTGACAACGCACAGACCTCCGTTCTGCTCTTTTTCATCTTCATGTCCTAAAAAAGTGCAACTTTCTTGATAGCTCACAGGTGGAGGCATTAGCTCTATTTTGACCTCTTGGAAGTGCAAGTAGGCTGGGGAGCAATGGAGCGATGAAGGCACAGATTGAATATTTTCATTGCTGCCTAAATCTTAGGGAGGTTCGATAACCCCACTTTGTATCGCGTGCTCACAGTGCTTACGCAAGCAGCTTCCACACAATGAGTTACAGAGCTGGAGTCAGTGTATACATGAAACTCCTGTGAAAGCGCTGATTGCATCACCAGAATCCTGCCTCCATTAGGAGGTTACCTCACCTTCCCAACCCAGCATTTTGGTCACTGACGTTTCTCAGTGTTTCTGGTGCTCAAGAGAGCTGTGAATGAAAGAGGACTCGGTATTTTCAGCACTCTGAGCTGCGCGCCCTCCTTCTCAATCTGTGTGTCGTGTTGGAGGAAGGATTTATGTCTTGAAACATCTTACAGGTGGTATATTGAACATGTCACTCTGGTGTTGCTTGTTCAGAGGTAGCTTCATTTAGTAAACTGAGCCCAAATAATCTAGTAGCAAATGACTCTTACATGAAATGAGGAGGTGATCTCAATCCAGATTTTTGTGGAAAATATATGGTTACTCGTGCTCTCAGCACAGGGGTGAGGATTGGCAGTGATCCCTATAGGATGTGGATTTCTGACATGAGCGAGGCTGGGTAGAACATCTATGTAATTCTGCTTGTTTGATGAAGGATGAGAAGAGAATTATGAGCTAAAATAGTATTCTTTTTTCTTTTCTTTTTTATTTATATTTTTTCCTTTTTTTGCACAAACTATTTGGTCTAACTAAAATAACTGTGTAGCTAACCCTACCCTATTAACTCTCTTCAAGGAGTGAATACCTTAAGAGTAGACTGTGATGGAAATTATTAAAGATGACAAAAATTTTTTTTATATAAAAGGAAATGTAGTACAATCTAGCTTCAGAATTCAGAACATCCAGAATGCCATGGTTTTTTTAGTATGATACCACAGCCAATTATATTTCTTATTTTTCAACTTTCTTTGTCTTTTTCTCACACAAGCCTAGACTATGATTTCATAATGTTAATGAAATTTGTTGTGATGTTCCTGTAGGCTGCTGTGGGTAAATAATTACAATATGAGGAAGGTGATTAATGATGTGGCCCTAAGTCTGTAAAGTAGGACTTTGTGACTGATTAGGATATAAGCAAAGAGGACTGTAGTGTCTCAAAAAGCCCTTCAAAACCCCTGACAGATCAACCTATAGTCACTGCAAGGATCACCTGTCTCAGCCCAACAGATCCTTCTGTGAGAAGTTTTGGTGATTTGTACTTGAGGCCTTCTTGTGACCCAAAACCTATTTTTTGTGGTGTGTCCCTGACAACTTCTCCTCCTGTTCTTCAATCAATCAGGTAACTAAAGCTTGAGCCTTCTCATGAGAAAAGGTGCTAGCTGACAGCATGCCTTCTCCTACACAGGCATCTTGCTCAACACTGAGGGTCAGGAGTAACATGATGCTAAGACTGGTCCCAAAATCCAGACCTAAGTCTGGTCTCAAAATCAGACCTATGGCTGGCAAGTTTGGGATTTTTATTTCTCCTGCTCATTCAAACCTAGACCAAATGCAGAATCCTTTTAAGTTTCTCCATGGCTATTTGCAGTTCTCTTTGTGACTGCTGGAGAAAGAAATGTACACAGCTATTTAAGAAATTCATATGTGTAGGCAGGAAAATGCTTTAAGAGTATGAAATACAGTGCAAGTATTGCTGTCGCTTCTTCTCCAGTCATATGCTACGCTTTAACAACCCAGCATGTTTTCTTCCACAAAAAGATCTTTTTATTTCTGAACTTTCAGAAGCCTTAATCAATATAAATAACAGTTTGAGCATGATGACATCATATTTAGTCCTAGAGTTGTGCATCTCAGTTGCTTATCATTTAAATCAGTGGAAATAAGCATAGCAGTTACAAGTTTCAAAAGGTCAAAGAAGCTACTGTCTTTTCAGCTTTGAATCAGCTGAGAGACTCCAGTTTCTTGGAAACATAATGCCAAGGCTGCATCTCTGCATCTCATCTCTTTTTTTTTTTTTTCCCCTCCTTTGAAGCAGTATAGTAATTAGCTTAAAGGGCAAATCACACCGCACTCAGTAGCAGAATACTGTACAGTGCAAGTTCCCTTCTATTTTCTCTTTCACTTGAAACTAGTTTAAAGAGAAGTTTTAGCCCACATTGTGTACTGAAATATTTGACTGAAGCTCTCTTACCCAAATGCCAGAAAGCTGTTTTTCAATAAAATGAATACTTTTTCAGTACAAATATGACAAGTTCTTTTACCATTTTCTCAGAAGGAAAATAAGTGATAAAGTGTTCCTCAGAGAGCAATTTGTGAGAAAATTAAAATCAAAATGAAAGCAAAAGACTTTTAAAACCTTTGTTTTAAATGTGATTTGTTGTTTTCTTTATAAAAATAGCAGCATGATTTCTGGGAGGAAGCCACCTATCATCTAGACTGCAATGGAAAAAACTGTTCCTTTTTTTGCTGTCAGATGCGTCGGTCAATCAAAAGTTACGATCAGAGTGTGTGCCACATTTGTCTGTATAGCAGGACTCTACAGTGTTTTAGGGACTGCTATTTCTTGTATGTTTTTCTGACCGACTCTTTGTTTTATTTCCATATATTTCCAGCTGCCGTTCTGCTGCTGAAGTGAAACTGTCCAGGCGGGTTGTCGAGCGTTTCCATTTCGTAGTATATGCAGCCTTCTCAGAGCTGGGAGCCACACACTGGCGCTCCAGGGACTTCTGGCTGCTCGTGCTGCTGGTAGTTTTGCTTTGGTTTGTGAGACTTTACCTGCATTATTTGAGCCAATGGCTCTTCCTTCAGACCATCTCTGTTCCTGTTACAAAGTAAGTCCTGCTGCCTTCTTTCTCTGTCGGAATATTTCTACAAATAGCTTGATTCAAAATGGTTCTTTCGCACTATGAAGAGAACTGACGACTAAGACTCGTGCTAAGGGCTCTGTATGCAAGCCCCGATAGGAGCCCCTGCAGAGACTAGGAGAACAAGGACCACATCCAGACTCCAGATGATCTGATATGTAAATGTGACCCTAACAGAAAGGTGAAGGTGTTAATAATGTAAATTTTCAACCCAGAACAGGATGTGTCCATTTGCGCATCTTGTGTCATGCCTACCTCTCACCCTCTGAGATACCCAGCAGGTTATGTATCTTGTACAAGAATCATTTATCATTTTGGATCAAGTATTTCAAAATGCCTAAGAATTGCACAAAACTGAAGAAGCATTTATATCATGTTTGATGTTACCAAAGTTGATCTATGAGTAAAATACTTTGAAGAATTTAACTTTGATATATCAATTTTACTGTGAGGGCTACAATGGGTTGACATATTTTAACTATATGATACACTGACTTGGGATTCAGAGCTCTCTAGAGAGTTCCAGGAAAATCATTACTTGTCATTACTTGACATGAAAAAAAAAAAGATGGAGAACAAGTCCACAAGGTGATATATACCTGGTTCTCCATATGTTGCTATGGGGTGGAGAATGGGTTTACAGAGCAAAAAAGATCAGTCATGTTTAGGGAAGGGAAGATTTCTGCAACAGAAACTTTTTTTTCTTTTCTTCGCTTTAAAGCATCATGCAAACCTGAATCAGTCAGTAGGAGCCAGTAACATGCAACTCTGTGACCTGTGTCTGCTGTGATAGTGGAATTATTGACTAAAATTTGAACAGGGTGCCTGAGCAGACTCTGGACGGCACTGGGTATTGTTAAGGTGGTCTTCTAGAGCTTAATGCAAAGCCAGCCATCTCTCACTTCTGGCCTTGCACAAACGAGGCGGGCTTAGCCAGCTGGCATTAAAACTTTTGGGAGGCCAAGCATCAAGAAGTCTGTGAAAGCAAAGGAAACACAACAGAAGGAAGCAGCATGTGAGAGAGGTAGTCATGTTCGAAGCCACTAATCACAGCTGTCCCAGGCAGTCAGCTAGATAAAGGATAATGTTCTCGAGCCAAGATGCCCTGGATCAGCATGCAAATCTGTAGCTGTGTGCCCGCAAAAGAGACTGAGTTGAGCACACTCTAGTCCCGCCAAATACAGTGGTAGCACTCACGAGTCAAAACTGAAGTGAGAATCAAACCACATCACCTTTACTCAGGAGCAAAATTTAAGCCACTTCGATTCGCTGGAAATATTTGCCTTAAATTTCAGCATCTGTGTGTAGCTGACAATGCCAGGCAGTTCCTGCCTCCTACAGTGCCAGCAAATTTGCTCATTGTGCGAGCTTTTCAAATCCCACCATCCCATGGTGGCAAGAGGGACATTTTCCGTCACTTTAGGGATGCTAAAAGCTATGTCTTCCTTGACACATTTTCCACTTTGTGGAGTGTCCAGCAGTGCTGCAGTATGCAGAGAGGAGTGAGCTCCTGGGGCCTGTGCTCATATTGGTGCTTCTGGGAGCCAATGTCTTCCTACAGCCCTGCCTGCACAGTCCCAAGGGCCTGGATGTGCATCCACTAAACTGAGAGTCAGAGGGGATCAAAGGACGCAGAGGCAGGAGGAGGAGAAAAATTTTATTTTTTTGCGTGGCTTCATACAGTTTTTGGTCAGAGGATTGTGACCAAGATAGGGATGCAACTTTACAATGCAACGTGCTGTATGCATTATTCTATGTTTTTTTAATGGTTTGCCCAGGAGCACAAACAAACTCTCTCCTTTTGCTTATGTACAGATTCCAGCTTTTTCCTCACACTGTCAAACTGTGCTACCAGAACTCCTTGCTGCAGACCAGTGAAGAGTTGGTCATGGTTGTGGTGGGACCCCTAACCTTGAACGCAGGGCTGCTTCTTATGGTCCTGATCAGATGGGGCTGTCAGCAGCTGTTTGACTCATTCCCTTCCTTCTTGTCAAAGTTTATCATAGCTCTGGGACTCTGGACAGTGCTAGACCCCTTGGCAGTGTTCGTAGTGGATTCAGTCCTGGGGGTAAGTCACTTAAAATAACTTGGACATGAGACCTTGATGTAGAAGTGTGTTTTATTCAGTGAATCACTGAAAAATATGAAATTCCACCCCTGGCAATGGAACATGAAAGTTAAAAAGAAATTAAATAATAACGTTATACATTACCTTTTTATTAACAAAATTCCCATCTAATGGAGTCACTGTGTTTCTGCATAAAATTAAAAGCACTGTACAAGCCATATACGGAAATAAGAAAGTAAATCCACCACTGGAATGATTGCATCTGCTTTGAAAAGGATTACTGCAATTTTGGATGTTAATGGAGATGGGTTAATGAGCAGTCCTGATTATTAGCGCTTCAGATTTTTCTAAGTGCTGAAACAGACAAACTGAAAAAATAGCAAAACCAAAAGGAGAGGTTATCGTGCACTTTTCTGACATGCAACGTAGGTAACATAACTTGCTGGCACGCCTAAAAAGACTTTTGAGATTGAAAGACAGACATCTTTAAGGAAACAGCTTCACCACATGTAAAATTATGAGAGCAAAGCTCTCGACTTTATCTGTGCCTACGTATGCACTGTGTAGCTCATCTGTGCTTTGATGGCTGGGGGCTTTTATCATGTCTGAGGTAATGCCTGGCCTCCCAGAACATGCGTTTCAGATTTGGCTCTCACTGTGTAGGTGACATGGGGTCCTTCTGATGGGTGCAGGGTGCTGCAAGCTTTTCTGGGGGCGTGGTATTGCTGTTCTTCTGCCCTTGTCTGCCTTTCAAAGAGATCTTTGTTTCTGTTGCTTGCTCCAGATCAAGTAGTAATCCACAATCCTTGCTGTGGATCAGGTTTTCTCAGGTCTCTTGGTTCCTCATCCACTAACCTGTGCTCTGCTTTTAAGAAGTCCTGTTAAAAATGTGATTTTCCACTGTTTACATGCTGTTTCCCATTGCAGTGGTTTTGAAAATTAAAAATTTCAGCTGTTCAAGAAATTTAATTGGAGCTCACTTGGGAGGTAATTGCAATATTTTAAGCATGTGGCAACACAGTGTAATATTCACTTGGACAGACTTCTAGGGTTTTTTTAAATTTCATGGTGTAAACCATGCACAGAATTGAATTTTAATTGTAATTATTCTGATGATGAATTGTTTTCCTAGGAGAAAAAGGGGTATTTCCCCAATATCCAGGCTAGAAATATTTAAATATTTAAAAGGCTTCCCCCTCCCCCCAATACTGGTGTATTCATAAAAACTGGAGGAAAGGCAGAGGTCTGCCTTGTCTTTCCCACACTTGCATTGAGAAAATCATTGCCGTTGACTTCAGTGGAATTGTGTTCAGTTTTAGTCAGACTGCATTCATTACTAATTTCAAATAGGGCTTCTTTGCTTGGTCAGAAGGAAACATGAGATACGAATAAGGTAACTAAGTTTTTCATTACAACGTTAAAAAAGCACAGCGCTCTCTGTACCTCATACTGAAAATTTGGCAATTTTACCCACCAAGATTATCTTTGGTAGAAACTCATTTGTTCAAATATTACACAATATACTGTGTGTATCCTTTCCAAAATGAAACTATATCTCTTACATGTGTTTTCGTTATTGCATTTGAATTTTTTTTTTTCTCCTGGCATTCTTTCAGCAGCTATTTCAGATTTACTTGCCAATATATTTTAGATCAAGCATTTTTAAAATGTTGTGTTGCGGTAATATGAGTTATTTTAGTGCTAGAATATATTTTAGTATCCTAAATGGCCTTAATACTTGAAAGATGACAGCCCTGGAGACAAAGGTTTCTCTGTTTACTAACTGGGTTTTTTTTATTATTAAGGGAAGACTAGAGAGCCAGTTGCATGTTTGGGGGGTTTCAACTCATAGTTCAAGATACTCTGTCAAATGTGTGATTCCAGGCTTGATTTACTATCAGCTTGTAGAAGGATGTTCCAGGGGTATGAAACTTCCCTATCATTTTGGAGAATCCAGTTCTAGTTCCAGTTCTGCCAGAGCTTTCCCAGGACCAGTCACTTGGTCTCTCCGTAGCTTGTAAAATGCAGAGAGTAACATCTCTTTAGCCACATGGATACGTGTCATCATAAAAGAGACTGTGAAGTGCTCACATGACCATCACTCTGTGGTGTGATAAGTACCTAAGACAGATATTGACAGATACTATTGAAACAATTTAAAATGGAGACACCTTGTCTCACCTCAAAGATCATGTCTTTGAGGACCACAGAAGGATTGACACAATCTCTTTGTTAGAAAAAATGGATAGAAAGATACACTTGCCCCATGCCATTTTTGCCTTGCCAGAAAGAACTGCTTGATTAAGAGAGAAATTTATTCTTACTTGCCATTCAGACTTTTGCCTCTCTGGAGGCATGTCAGGATGTGACTGCTGTGCAGAGGATTTTCCTTGGTAGACAGTCTCTTTGGTAAGAAAGTGGTGGAGGCAGACAGCTTTTTTTTGCAAGAAGAGAGGATAGAACAAGGAGGTAGAACAGAACCAGGAGATAATGTATTTTAACTTTTTTGTAAAGAATACGGACAGATCTGAATTAGTGACTAGTCTTTATATGCTATTACCTTTCTCCTGGGACTTGTATTTTCCATTACAGAAACTTGGCAGTGTTGCAAAGGGTGGAGAGAGAACAGAAATATACTCAAGAATCTCAGTCTTTGTACAGCTCATCATTGGACTTGTAATTGTCTTGTCTTTATTATGCATGTCGCTGCAAAGGTAGCAAAAAATGGGGAGGAAGTTTTGACTCTTCCTGAGTATTAGTCCAGGCAAGTTGCTTAGGAAGGTGCAGGTTTCCTGAAGCCTAAAGGTCACAGACTCCCTCTCTGAATGATAAATACTGGATGTTTTTGGTGGTGCAGTTTCACATCCTTGCAAAATGTGTTAACATGATTTAATAGGGATATGGCTGTCCTTTTCTCACTTTAAAAAGAAAAAAGTGAAGAGAGGAATTTATTTTAGCTCTGAGCAGTAGAAGACCCATGATATGTAGCTGAATTCTTCTAAATTGATCCAGCAGAGGGCAATAATATGTCAATACAGTAGCTAGTTCTTAAGAACCAGATATGGAAAAAAAAGGAAAATAGATTTTTGGAAAACCTTTTTCCATGTTTTACTGGAAGTATAATGAAACAGAGTGCTACGAAACCTTCAGGATTCTTTGTGAATCTTTGCAAAAATACACAAACCACCTTACTCCCAATTAAATTACTATTTTTGTTCTATGACTATTAATTCCTTACCAATATTTAGCATGCTAAAGATTTGTTTCATCTTCAGTAGAATGAAAATAGTTATACATGTTTATTCGTTTACAGAGCAGTTGAACATAAACTATTAATAGCATAACTAAGTAGGGTATACGACAGTCATGTACCTTTGGAGAAGCTATTAATGATACAACTTAAGGTTGCTACTTGGTACAGTTAAGAGGTATTTTTAATTCCACCACAGCAGTGGGAGTACAGTACAGTCAGACCCCTTCAGAGGTATTGGTCTCATTGTGTCTCTATTTCTTCTCAGGAAAGAAAGAAATTAAATGAGAGCTATATCATAAAATAATGCTGATACTTTTTGGTTATTCAGTGTTACAGGCTGGGGGTTGTGGCTTCCTTCCCAAACTGGACTGACTGGACACTAGGAGGGGTGAAGGAACTATCTGATTTTCTGACTTAAAACGTTGCAGACAGACTTACTTAATGCACGTAACTGACTGGACACTAGGAGTGGGGGGTGAAGGAACTATCTGATTTTCTGACTTAAAACGTTGCAGACAGACTTGAATAATGCACGTACATAAATTAAAATGCTGTTTCATAAGGGGGAACTTGTCTCTTTTGCACTGAAAAAAGGTCAACCCCTTTGGGCAAAACTTAACAAAACCCTGCTGGTGTCCCCTGTTGATCTACTTGCAGTTGCTTTCTCCATTTTTCTCACCTCATTGGTTCTCAGTGAAGCTTTTTGAATCCACTACCTTCTTTGACTGATGCTGTTGTTTGCCAGGCTAGTGGAAAAGCTATCCTAGGTGTCAGCTAGCAACACATGCAGATGCCCTGATACTTCCATTTGGCATTTCAGATAACATGATGGTTACTCTTGTTTTCCAGCGGTAGCACCAAACACTGACTTGATCTGAAATCGGGAATTGGTGTGTATACATCCTCCAAAGTGCACATGTTCAAAATAATGTAACATGCTGAGTTTGGTAGGAACCAGCATTTTTCTTGTGACAAGGGCAAGTCATTTTGAGACTGGTCAGTTTGGAATTATGCATTGGCACAAGTGTTTTCTGCTTACTCAGCACTCCTAAAAACAGTAGCATAAATCATTCAATATTATGCCTCTCTGGTCATTGAAATAAGGCAAATTTCAGCCTTCTTCCCCTTCCACTTCCCCTGAAATATGCTAACGAAGCTCACATTGAGTATTTTCACTGTGACATGGGTTTTGTTCCATAAGCCACCTCTATAGGGTAGATTTTAATTGTACTAAAATAAGCCAGAAAATAGTTTATTTCACATCTCATGGTTAATTTCAAATTCTGTGTAGCAGACTCCTAAGTTTCAAGTTGTGTGCCACACAAATTATAGTTGAATCCTTCTTATAAAGAAATTCAGGTTCTTTTGTGTCTATAGGTAAATAGTCTAATCAGGTTTGGCATTTTCTTATGTTGATTTTTTCCCCCATGACAGCGACTTGGGAACAGTGTAGAGAAACCCATTGCTGATGCTGCAAAGCTCTACTGGGTCTTTGTAAGAGCAGAGGAGTCAGGGATTCCTGGTGCCTTAATCACTGTGATGCTTTATACAGTCCTGTTCATCATCTCATCAACGGTGTTGTACCTGTACTTCTTAAGGTATGTCTTTTTATCTCATTATTCCCTTAGGAGCTTAGGCTCAAGCCCGTTCTCCTGTAAGATAAAATAAGGTGACATGAAAAGACATATCAACGTCACATATCCAGAGCCCAGAATTGCAGACAGTCAAGGAGGGGGTTAGCTCCTGCTTAGCTTTTAATGCACTGGTATTTGGTGGGCACAGTGAGTCAGAGAGGGAGCCACTTATTTCCTCAACAGGAACACAATTGATATAATGATTTTTCATAGAGTCTAGGAGCCTCTCTGTTCCTTTGGCTTCAGACAATGGTGTCTGTGTCAAGGGTTTAAGCTCTAAAGTGTGTGTACCTTTCATCTAGGTATTTTGGAAGACATTGCCTTTAGTCTTCCAAGCAGGATTTTTGTGAGAAATAGGAAAAATTCAGAATGGTGCATATGGTGTGAAATGCAAAATCTGAGTCCGCAGTGGCTCCCAGAGTCTTACAGCCTTTTGATGATACAGGATTTTTGACTTGATGTGACTGAGGCTTTAACCCGCTGCATGACATGACTTAATCCAAATAATTTTTCCATGACTTTAGCCCATTATCAATATTCAGTTCATCATGAAATTTGACCAACTACCTTTCTTGCACCATTAGCTGTACAGTCAATAAGGACAGGTGTGGGACACTGAAATGAATGAGATGATAGGTTGTCTAATGTATTGAATGAAAAAGTGTATTTTCTTTTTTTCTGAGTGATTCATCTATAATGCAGTATGGATTTTGTACTGGCCTTCGATTCACCCAGTGATGAACATGGAGTGGTGGCAAGCACCAATAAAAAGCCATATGCGAAGGCAAGATGCAGGCAGGTGTAAGAACAGAAAAGCTCAGCGTACGCCCCCCCATCTGACAGAATCATCCCTCAGTCTCCTTCCCACAGACTGTTGCAGCAGGCAGAAAAAGATAAATGGCAATCTAAATTTCTGCAAAGTATTTCAAAGCTCCTGCATTCCTGGAAGCTGTACACAACTCCAATGTACTGGTAGTCTAGTTAATTAGTTTTTGAGATGTTAATGCCTTCTTAATCATTGGCTTAATAGTTTTGAATAGCTTCGTAAGTTTTAGCTGCTGTCGTTTATTACTCAGGAAAATTAATTTAAATTAAAACATTTGTAAAGCAGGTTTTTATGAGAATATTACCAACATCTTCATTGTCTGGGGAACAGGTGCAAGATCGTCAAAGGTTCCTTTCCTTCTGGATCAATTTTCCCATAATGTTTTCCAATAAAGGGGTGGGGAGAGAATGTTACTAGGGGAAAAAAGTTGTCTTAGTACGACACATTTTAAAAATGATTCATAGCAAAGTACAAAAGCAAAGGGAAGATAACAAAATCTGTTAGAGTGCATAAGGTCTTTGAAGTTCTTTGCTTGATAACAAAAAGAAACACTTTGAATACTGGAGCCTGTGCAGAGTAAAGTTATACCACGAGCTTCTGAAATTGGATCAACTTTCTCTTCCTTGTTTGTCCACAGCCCAACACAGTGGGAACCTTGGACCTGGCTAGGACTCTTGAGCAGCACATTGGCAGTCCACTAATGATAGCATTAAAACCTTTTAAAATGTTTTTAAGGAAAGAATCTTTGCAATTCATAACATTGTTTCCTGAATATTGATATAACAGCATTTGTTTTCAAGAGAAAATAGTATTATAACCAAGGCAGTAGTATGAATATGTGTGAATATTTCTTGGGTATTATATCTCAAAGACATTCAAATGTAATGTTGTTTGACTCATAAAACATATATTTTTTACACAGGCATCCACAACATCTTTCTTTTGTAAGGTAAACCAATATAAATATTGAGGGATGTTTTCTGTGTCTTAAGACACCCAGTCCACAGGGAAGACTTTGGCTGTTGGATGGTGGAGTTGGTGGTCCAGCTGTTGGCCATTGGTTAGAATTACCCAGCAATTTGCCATTTAACAGAAGCGTTCAGCAGAGTATAAAAAAGGGACAAGAACAGTGAACCCACCAGACCACCAAAGAAAGTAGGGGAAGTGTCTGTTTCTACCACAGCTAGAAAGCTTCATGGCGGCACTGATGAACAACCAGGAAGTGAATGAAATCATGGGCAGGGGATAAACAGCAGTAGGCATCTATTTGTGTCTTTATAAAATAACATACCTCAAAAAGTCTGGCTCCTCTTGGGTGTCTTGGGAGTCTGTAGTACATCTAGCATGGAGAGATATTTTAATTACTTTTTGGAAAAATGAACTGGCACTGGTTACAATTCCTTCATTTTAATTCCACTAGACATTAGAAACAGTCAGAAATTTGTTGGTGAAATGTTTTCTGTATTGTGAGAAAATGCAGACCCATCTCAACTAAAAGCGTCTGCTGGAAAGAGTCTAAATTTCCTGGTATTGAAATATTTTTTGGGGAAAAGCTTCAAAAAGCTACATTTTTCAATGTTAACAGCAAAATTATTTATATATTTTTTACAGTTGTTTTCCAAAAAAGTATGAGAAAGGCTCAAGCAAAGATGTAATAAATTGTTTTAAACCACTCTACCCTTCAATTTTTGGTTTGTCTAAATTTTTGAGAAATCCATTTTTTGATCTGACTCTGGATAGCAAATAATTTCAATGATTTCTTTTCTTTCTGATGAATAAATGATTTCTGTTCTTTCTGATGAATAAATGAACTTGTAAGGTATTATACTGGGTCTCATATCTCTAGAAAATAGCATCTGAGTTTTGTTTTGCTCTTTATTGCATTAGCAATAGAAATTATTAGTCATATTTATAAGAAGCCATGTTAAGATACAAGAAGTGTTTTATTAGTTTTTGTGCCAAAGAAAAGAAATTAAAGCAGGTAACAGGAGCAGGCTGAGTACTTTTGGGCAAAAGGAACAAAGCTGGAAGACAGGCTTCATGATTCTTAATTAATTCAAAGTTAATTGTATTGTTTATAACCATGTGCTTAAAATCTTCATATAGAAAATGTTTATGGCAGCAAATAGACAGTAATTTAACTGCATTAAATTTTTCTTCATTTGAAATTAGAATGTTACATTAAGTGAGCTTAAATAAATGGCAAGGTCTTTTTCTTGTTTAGCAAGATAAGTGGCAAGTCATTTAAATTGCTGACCTGGAATTTCAAAGACGAACACCATAGAATATTATTGTTTTAATATGAGCGGAAGGCCAGAAAGCTCACCAACTTGATTGCTAGTTTTTCAACTAAGCACAAGATAATTCTAAGTTATGAGTCAATGTTTGCAAAAATGTATCTATTGTGTTGAAAGAATATCTAATGTAGATCCAGGGATTAAGAGACTAACTTTTCTTTGAAGATGCTGTGGAATCTGGAAAATTACTCTATGAAGGGTATTAGTTATTTTTTAAAAATCTTCTCTTCTGTAGCATGTTTTAAGATACTTTAATATCCTACTCTGTCTTAGCACTGATTTGCATTTCACACTTTAGAGCTTTTTCTGTATTTCTTGTAGCAAGTTTGTTTATATTCCAAGGACTACCTACATCTCGATTAGGTTATCTTCCAGCTGCTCTCCTTTTTTGATAAGAGAATCCCAAAATGACATCTTGGAAACTACAGCAAATTTAGGGCTGTAGCTTCAAAAAGGAATGTTTCAGAAAGGAAGGGTGGGGAAAAAAGTACAGAGAGAGCCTTTGCAGCAAAGCGGGAGATATAAGTCCCTAATCTGATGTTGAGCCAGGCTGACAGATTTCAGTATCAGAATAGCTACTCCATCACAGAAACTCTTGGATATAGAGCTTGACCCTAAGGTCCATATTCCCCTTTGAAGAGAGAGCTAAAGCTCCTCCTGAGGTCAGGTTGAAAAACTGTCTGTTGGTGCGTCTCCTTATTTCTGTTCCACACTAAATCTCAGTTGTGGGCAAAATTGTACTAAACAGCTTATTGAGTGTGCTTCTCTGCAATTACTGTGTGCACTGTAAGGTGAGATGTAGAGCTAGTGCAAATGTGAACTTCATTCTGATTTACTTGAACAGGCCACTGCCCTCCGCCCGCACACGCATTGGTTAGCACATACATGCCAATACAAGACCCAAGAATAAGGATCAGCCACAAGAACTGTGTCTAGTGTTGCTGTACATGAGAAGGATGAGAGTTCAGAGGGTCAAAGGAGTTGTGCCTGTGCTCTCTCTCCCACCTGCCAAGAAATGAAGGACCTGTACAGCCCCACAGAAATCTGGGCTTTTTGTTGGTTGCAGTGCCACACAGCAATCCCCACGCTTCTCATGACTACCCAGCCAGTCTCTGGAAAGGATGGAAAAGCTGAGACTGGCACCAAGCAATGGCTGAATTGTAATAAAGTATTAGCTTGGAAGAGGCTACAAAAGGAAAGACCTCAGTTCAATATCCAAGATTGAGGTTCCAGATTTTCTGATCTTTATTTTCTGAACCCCTGGTTTTGGAATAAAAGTAGAATGAGAAAGAGATGAACTTGAAGAGGTTCCATTTGAATTAAACAGCAATGTTTTGAAGTTTTAAAGTTCATTTAAGGCTAAAAATGTGACATTAGGTTTTTCCAAAAGCCTCACAATATTTCTTGGTTTCACCTACATTAAGAAATACCACACAGCAAGCCTTTCTTGTGGTAGAAAATTTTACTGCGTAGTGCTTATTCAATTCCCTACCACAGCACAGAAATGTCATAGAAAAACAAAGCCAACAAATGAAATGAACTTTTCTAACATCAAGAGAAGTTTAGATTGTATAGACTTCAGGCTTGGGGTTGAAAAAAATGGTGAGTAGTTCCTTTCTATATGATGTGGTTTGCCCGTTATTGAACCCTGGCACAGCAGGACTTCCATTCATGCCTAACTGAGGTACTCCATGTAAGCACTGGAACTAGTTAGCCAGCCCAATGTTAAGTACAGACATTGGACATTTCTGAAGCAAAGGAAGATCAGGATCTTTTTGGGAAGTCAGTATCTTGAAATAATTAAAAGAAATTGGAGCTTAAGTTTATGTGATTTGATTCAGGTATTGTAAAGTCTCCAGAGGGCTGGGGAGGGTTGTATGTTGGAGAACTTGTGGGAAAGAAGCTTCTTACTCATGGGTAGAGAATATAGTCATGGCCAAGCTTTAGAAGTCTACAGAAGGGTAAGACACCTTTTTCTTTTTTGCATGAAGAGTCCTGTCAAAGAAGAACCAAGTGTGTCATTCCTATCCTTAGGCTACATAGTGAAGGTTGGCTGTTGGATGTATTTCGACGCATTCATGGTGAGGAAGGCACATTCTTCGTTCCATTGGACTTAGAGATTTCCAATCAGGAGCTGAGCTACATTATGAAGAGGGCTGAGCAGTGGAGAGGAATCAACGGTGAAAGACGGATGGTGAGTGGTGAACAGAGTCTCCAAAAGGAGTCTGTGACATACTGGTCCAAATTAATGTTTTGTATTCCTGTGTATTACCTAAAAGAACCTAGATATACAAGAAAATTTTTCTTAGGGTGCTTCTTTGAATGGAGAAGCTAAGAAGCATGTTCAGGAGAATTTTGTGAGAAGGTTGTATGTACATGGCCTGAACATCTTGAGGGGCTACAATCTGCTTAGTATCCAAAGGCTTAGCGGCATCACTGATGTCAAAAATTATCTATGCCATCTGGTGATTCTTGACTGGATTGTAGAGGCTTGCTACTTGTTTAAATGTCAGTACCACCCCAGATAATTTCTCAGCCAGCTCAGCAAACTGGGAAGCTCCATGGACAAGTCGACTTTGCTCCCTGCAAGGGCATGGATGGGGCTGCCCTGAGGAGGGGGTGTAAGTTTGGTGAGTCAGATGTGATAGCCATGCTCTCCTTCCTGGCCCTTTCCTTCCAGGATTGCCCAGAGGAGTGGGCTGAGTTGGAAATGTGTAGGAGGAGGTAGGAGAAAAGCTCTACTTTAGCTATCAAAATAATTCCTCTTCGTTTTCCATTAAGCCACTAGTCTCTAGTCCCATATACAGACTTTAAGCTGTGATGTGCAGGAGATGTATCTGTGTTTGCAAAGAGTCCAGTGTTGGGGATGCCATCCACAAATGAGGCTTCTGGTCATAATTGCTTTCAGAGAATTGGAAATAACAGAAGTAACATGGTCAGTAGTCTGTGAGGGTCATTGTCTTCCTTCTGCGAGGGACATTTTCCTCCTTGCTTTCTAGCTTTGCATCAACATTATTAATTCCCATAGGACTATCTTATAAAACAGCTCTTGGACAAATGTTAAAGTGCTCATCAGTTGGATTTATACATCTATGAGTGCCTCTGTGCACAATGCTTTGTTCAGTAACTCTCGTGCTTGAATATAAAAATGAACAGATTTAAGATAGGAAGGAAATTAGTCCTCTTAAGTTTGTATGAGTTGTTTGTTTTGTTTTCTTTTCTAACCCGCTGGAACAAGGGATTTCAGATTAGGGTCTGCAGGTTTTTCAAGTCCCTATAGCTACCTCTGAAAGATCAGCAGTTTATATAAATATATAGCCTCAGTTGTCACTGCTATAAACATCTGGCACAGCTGTAATTGTTTTCCACTTTTTTTCATGATGACAGTCTGGACCCTGAAAGAAAGATTAAAAAGGTGAATGTGCCAATTGAACGAAAAAGCAGATACTCAGTAAGCTTAATTTTTGTGGGAAAGTGCAGAGCACCGCATTGCATTTCAACAGAGGGGAGGAAAAAGGTATGAACGAGTGAATGTGCTACCACAGCCACCTGCCTCAGACATTCCCACTTTTTATACAGATAGCACTTACTGGCTTTACCCCAGTAAGCAAAATCACCCTTTTGTTGCACTCAAAAACTTTCTACAGTAAGTCAAAGCATAGCCACTGATGATTGGTTTCTGTTACCTTTGTTACATGTTAAGTAGGGTCAAACAAAGAATATATATAGTGGACCCCATTTGACATGCCAGGACTACTAATACCATGTGGAAAAAGTGGTGGATAAAGCAACTGCAAACAACTACTTTTCTGTTTCAAGTACTGAATACATTTCTAATGATATTACCAGCATATCATTTCTGGCAGCAGTACAAAAAGGGCTGGGGGGGGGGGGGGGGGGGGGAGGAAAAAAAAAGGGGGGAAAAGAAGGAGAGGATGGAGGGTAAAGACAAATGGAAAAGAATGGAAAGAAAAATTACTTCTCTGTATACAAATAGTCTGCCCCTGAATGGAAGAAATATGGATTGTCATAGAATCATAGAATAGTTTGGGTAGGGGGGAAAAGAAGGAGAGGATGGAGGGTAAAGACAAATGGAAAAGAATGGAAAGAAAAATTACTTCTCTGTATACAAATAGTCTGCCCCTGAATGGAAGAAATATGGATTGTCATAGAATCATAGAATAGTTTGGGTTGGAAGTGACTTCTAAAGGTCATCTAGTCCAACCCCCCTGCCGTGGGCAGGGACATCTTCAACTAGACCAGGTTGCTCAGAGCCCCGTCCAACCTGACCTTGAATGTTTC